AGCATAAATATTGCCAAAAAAAGAAAAAATGGAGACGCTTATTGTCAAAATTGTTGAGACGCGATTCCTAACTGTTCCCATTGTAAAACAAAGAAAGGTTGAGACCAATATAAACAAGGGAGCGAAAAATTTTGCTCGCAAGATTGTTTAGATAAGTTTAAAAATGACGGGGGAGGAAACCAAAAAAAATGTGCTGAATGTTTTAAGCCGCAGCCTGCAAGTCCGGCCTTGCATGGTTGAGATAAAGTTCACGGCCGACTTTTTTGCTCGGATGATTGCACCCAAAAATATTTTAAAAAATTAAAGGAAAAATATATCACTAAATTACAGAATTTAACTGGTTGGAATTTACTTTCTACCACGGAGCAAAATAATTTTATCATTAGAATTAACACTGATATACCGGGTAATTTTGACAAAATAATTGATGATGCTAAAAATGCTATTGCTGGCAAAAGTGGTGGAAGCGGCTCCAATTGAAAAAAAGACGCTATTAGAGAAATCGAGGACGCATTAAAAGAATATGGTCTCACGGCTGCAGAATTAAAATGAGGAGATTGAAAAAAATGATTTGATGGCAAAAATGAAAATGAGGTTAAAAATGGCAAAGAAAATTACTTAAATGCAATTTACCGGACAGCAGCCCGACGGCGAATTTCAAAAAAACTGAATGAGGAAGGCCTTACATTCACAGATATGGATTTAAAAACTCATTTTAAAAAGTTTAACGGTAAAGCGGCTATTGAAGCCGAGAGAGACCGATTGTTGAAATTAATTGAAGATGCAGTAAGAAAACAACAACAAAATTCTTCTTCTGGCTCGTCTTCTAATTATTCTTATTCTAGCGGAGGAGGATACAGCAGCAGTGGAAACAGTGGCGGAGGCAGTTCCGGTTTTTATACAAGTGGTTCTTCGGGCGATCAAATCGATTTCTCTAATTTTTTTAAGGCATTATGGGCGGCGGCCTGTTCAGCCTCTTTTTTGCTTTTCCCTTGACCGCGGGCAGAGATTTTTCCTAGATTGTCAGTAACTTCAACTACGAATTGCTGGTTTTTGGTTTGGTTTCTTCATTTAACTACTTGATAAAATAAACGGTTATTCTGACTTTGACAAAGTTCTTGTAGCTGAGTTTTATAGTCTCATATTTCTTCTTCTCGACCTTTAATTCAAGAAAAAAGAGTTAAATCTAAGAATTTTTTTACGGTCCGAGTGCCTTTTTCCAAATACAAAGCGGCAATAAAGGATTCAAATATGTCGGCTGAAATACTTGCTTTTTGGCGTCCTCGGTTTTTTTCTTCCCCGGAACCTAATCTGAGAAATTTAAAAAGCCCGATTTCTTTGCTTAATTCAGCCAGAGTTTTTTCTTGGACCATGAATTGTTTCAATTTGCTTAATTGTCCTTCGGAAAAAGTTGAATAGTGGTGGTAAATATAAAGACAAACTTGCATATCTAAAATACTATCACCCAAAAACTCCAAAGTTTCATAATCTAAAATCTGTTTATCGTCAGTTTCATTCCGAAAAGAACTATGCGTAAAGGCTTGCTGAAATAGAGGAGTTTCTTGAATACTATTAATAACTTTTTCAATCTCTTTTTTCTTTTTTTTCATTGGTTAAAATTTTAAGCAAAAACTTCAATTATCAATCCCTAGTTAAAAATTTAAATATGTCCTGGTTGGTTACTTTAGAAGGAATTGATGGTAGTGGAAAGACAACTCTGATTGAAAACTTGAAAAAAAAAACCAACTTTGAATTAATAACTTACAGTTGACGAGACACCGAATTAGGCCAAAAAATATGAAATTTGCTGAATGAAGCCCGAGGTAAAAAAGAAGATGGTTTGCCTAGCAATTGAAGTTATATATTTCTCATTTTGGTTGCCTTTGAGGAACTGGTTAAAAAAATAATTAGGCCTAATTTACAAGAAAATAAAATAGTGATTATTGACCGCTACCTCGATAGTACTTTTGTTTACCAAGGTTTAGAAGGAAACATAAGCATTGATGACATTCAAAAAATAGCCCAAAAAACTGTTAGTTTACCGTTGCCAGACCTTACTTTTATTTTAGATATTGAACCCTCAAAAGCCCAACAAAGATTAAACAAAAGAAGAACCGAAACCGGCGAGTATACTAATTGAGATCGCTTAAAATTAGATTTTCACCAAAGAATAAGAAATAATTATCTTAAATTAAAAGAAATTTTTCCCGAGAGGATTCATATCATTGACGCTAGCAAAAACGAAGATGAAGTGGTCGAAGAAGTTTGCGAAATAATTAAGCAAGTGCATCGACCAGCAGATAATTTACCGGAATTTGCTCGGGTAATTATTCATAATGAAAAAGGAGAAATATTGCTGGTAAAAGATAAAAAATGAGGCTGGAACCTTCCGGGCGGAAAAATAGAAAAAAATGAAACCCCGGCTGAAGCCGCTAAAAGAGAAGTGTTTGAAGAGACTAATTTAATGCTTGAAGATTACCAAAAAATTAAGGAAAAAAATATCTTCTATGCTAATCTACCAAAAGGAATTCAGCACTGGAAGGGTCACTTTTATCAGGCCAAAAAATATTCTGGTGAAATAAAAAACAAAGGAGACGTTTTGGATATTAAGTTCATGGATATAAATTCTGCTTCGGAAATCAACGACAACCGCCATTCTTGGAAATTTTATTTAGAAAAAATAAAAAGTTATGAGTAAAAAAGCATTATTAATCAGTATTGAAGGAATTGATGGTAGTGGTAAAACTAGTCTTATCCAAGAATTAAAGCAAAAAATTCCTAATTCTTTTGTCACGCAATCGCCCCGAGGAACCGAATTAGGAAAAAAAGTTTGAGATTTGGTTACGGAAAACCTAACCAGTAAAAAAATAATCACTAATGTTTGAACCGAGTTTTTCCTTTTTACTGCTAATCATAACGAACATGCATTAACGGTAATTAAACCTAATTTAGCAGCCGGTAAAACTATTTTAGTTGACCGCTATATTGACAGCACTTTCGTCTATCAAGGCATTAGAGGTAAGTTGCCTATTGACAAATTAATTGAGGTCTGGGAAAAAACAGTCAATATTCCTTTTCCGGACCTTACTTTCGTGTTGGATATTGAACCAAATAAAACTTCTGCAAGAGTAAATAAAAGGCGACAAGAAACTGGTGAAGAACCAAATAATTGAGATAAATCTAATTGAGAATTTCATCAAAAAATTAGGAATGGTTACCTCCAACTAAAAGAATATTTTCCGAACAGGATAAAAATTATCAATGCGGATCGACCCGCGGAGGAAGTAATTGAAGAAGTTTACCAAGTTATCGGACAAGAACAACAGCAACCTGACCAAACCGAAGAACTAGCCGCCTCATCCGACCTAGAAGAGGAAAAAAGGCCAAAAAGAACTTTCGGAGGGAGAGGAGCAGCAAGAGGAAGAAGAGGAAAGAAATTAATCCAAAAATAAAACTTCTTTAAGCACTTTTTCAATTTTTTTAATTTTAGAAACCATTGTTATCGTCTAAACTTTCTCATTCAGTAACTAGTTCATCATCACTTAAATTTTCTCATTCATGCAAGGCAATTCTTTCTTGTTTTTCTCAATTTTTTTTGGGTTCTTGATAGATTTCATAATTAATATGTTTTTCTTGCAAGAATTTTTTTACTGATTGGCTATTGTTAGTTCGGATAATAATTAATTCAGTCATATAATAGTTTTTTATTAAGTCATTAACTTTGATTAAAAAAAAAAAAAATCCAAAAATCACTAAAAACTTATTATAGCAAATTTGGAGGACAATATGACAACTTTTATCAACACACACACACACACACACACACAAAACAGACAGAACAAAAATATGACAAAGTTTTCCCGAAAATGATTCATCACGAGCAGCCGTAAAGTCCAGCGTCCGCAAAGACGCGTCTAGTTAAATAAGTTAAGGTCTTAACTAAACCTTGACTAAATTAAGGCCAGAAACTAGTTGAGTCAAGACACTCGTCAAACAGTGAGCCGATATGAAAAACTATCTTAAATATGCAGTTTCTAGGAAGTTGTAACCTTAAGGAGGTCCAATTAGTTAAAAACAAAATTGAAAGGAGAATATGAATATTATGACAGAAAATATTAAAATAAAAATAATAAAATTACACCACAAAGAAACCCAAAAACGAAATAATATAGAACACAAGCACGCTATTTATGAAGTTGAACCTTTTGATTATGGGGACCACAATTATTCTCTAATCAACATTGAATATCAAAATGAAAGTGATTTGCACGAATTTGCGGCAGGCAAGAATATCAATATTCAGGTAGGGGAAGACATGACCCTCGGAGAAGGCTCTACTTTAATGATCAAAGGTGGTGCTTGAAATGCAGACCGTACTATTTGACAAAAAATTGGTGATACTTCAGCCCAAACCGTTAAAAAAACCGGAGAAGG